CATTTACACCATGGAATACTATGCAGCTGTAAAAAAGAAGGATCTCTTATCCTTTGAGACAGCATGGAGGGACCTGGAGAGTACTATGCTAAGAGAAATAAGCCAGTCAGAGAAAGTCAAGTATCACATGATCTCACTCATATGTGGAATCTAATGAACAAGATAAACGAATGAACAAAATAGATCCAGAGACATAGAAGCATGGAACAGATTGAAGAATCTCAGAGGGAAGGCAGGGGTGGGTGGTGGGGTGGGGAGAGATTAACCGAAGAACTTATATGCATAGATGCATAACCCATGGACACAGACAATAGTGTGGTGAAGGCAGGGAGGGGACAGGGTGGAGGGGGTCAATGCGGGAAAAAGGGGGACAACTATACTAAAATTTATAAAGATAAATTTAAAAAAGATAATGTCCAAAGATTAATTAATAAATAGAGGTGAAAACGTAATCTAGGATTATTGAGGGAAATGCTAGAAGTGGTTCAAAGAGGTTCCCTCTGAAGAATGGTTGCAAAGAGGGAAGAGAATCTTTACTATTTGATCTGCTGTGTGTACATGTATTCCTTTAATAAAAATAAATGAAAAATATTGAAAGATAGTATACACCTAGACCCAGGCCAGAGCAGCCCCTGCCCTGAGCCCCACGTTTTAGGGCGCTTTTAATCCTTCTTTTGACATGTGAAGGCATCCATGGGACCAAGGGGATAGGTCCACCCTGATCTGTGTTCACCCCCATCTAGACTAGTCTCTGGGGACCTGGGACCCCAGCATTTCTTGCCCAAATGGCCCCCGAGCCCACTTCCAGAGGCAGTGTGGGCCTCTTCCCGGGATCTGTCCTCTAAGGGTGGACGGTGCTCCCTGTGCACACATCGCCAGACCCCAGGCGTGGCTGTCTGAAGGGTGCGTGGCTGCACTGAAACATATGAGTTAGAAAGTTCACCTGGCTGAGCACGAGGGGAGAGGAGGGCGCTCGAGCCGGGGGCGGGAGCCAGCGTTTCCCACGCTCTCTAGTGTGGGACTCTGAGCCGTCTGGGAATTCTAAATCCAGATCTAGCCTTCGAGAATATAAAGGCACATGTGTCAATGCAAAAGGAAAGACTATATCTTTATCCTATGTTATTTGACAGTTTGTTCATTTTAAGTATTTAACGAGTATGTGGGCCTTCATTTGTGCTCTTGTCATAGCTCTGCAAACCTGTTGAAACCTTCCTGGTAACCTTTGTTTCTGCCTTATCGTTTAAAAAAACACAAAACAACACAACAGGAGATTTGGTTTTAAAGCCCTCTGAACCTGTCTGTGCTTTCCTCCCAGAGTCTGAGACTGCTGTGAACTTCCCATAAGCCACGGTAGCTCAGGGACAATTCAGCTGTGGAAAAACCCCGCCAAGCAGTTGCTCCAGAGAACCCGAAGGTCAGCGAGGAGATGGCCTGGCCCGGTTATGTGAGCCGCAGCTCCTCTAACCTTTCAGGCCGAGCATGTTGCTGTCCTAACTCTGCTCAGGATGAACCTAACTGCTCTTGTATGTAACTTCCAGATGACTTACCTTGTTCTACACAAACAAAGCTATGTTCACGCCACTGAAGGCTTGTATTTTCAAACTGGCCTAAGGCTGTATTTTCGTAAGAGAGTTTGAATTTGAAATGACTCTAATTCTCTCTTTTCTTCCCTTCTCTCCATTTTCCCTGAAGAGGGGGGTACGTAGACATTTGTTCCCAGAAAATAAGTTATTGTCAATTTCTTTTGTCCTGGAAAGAAAGAAAGCTTTTTATAGGGAAGAAAGCAGGCTCGGGACTTTGATTGTTCATCTCGATTCTCAGAGGGTCTCATCATGCACTCTTAAGCAAATTCTGTAGATCTTATTTTTTTTTAAGCAATAATTGCGCCTCCAATAAATCTCATTGGCTGCAACACCGCCACTGCGCCAGCTCGTAGCTCTTTCTTAACCTCTAGCTACACAGAGCTGACCCTTCTCTCCCTCTGCCCAAAGGAAGTGGCTATCTGCACCCACTGAATAAGGATAGAAAAGTACAGAACGTCATGTGAATATGTTTTATTCATGAGAAACAGTATGAAAGCTGAGTACAGTGAAGAAAGAACGATTGGTCACAGAGAGTACTTTTCTCCAGCCACACCCACGTACTGACAACAATCTCGGCCAGTTGTGTTTTCTCTGATTACAAAGAGGTAAAAGACAAAAAGCTCTGGCTGCACCCGAGTCCCACTTCACATAAAAGGGACATTTTTGGAGGCAAGACTCATAGGGAAGCAAGACTGCAGGGCAGCCCCAAAGACAAGGTCCCTTCCTGTCCTAAAATTCTGGGATCTTAAGTCTTCGGAGTGTTTGGGAGTAGGGATGCTCAGTGAAACAGGAGAACTTTTCTATGTTCGCGTCAAAATTCTGGCCTAGCCCAGTCAGTTTCAGGTTGAATTTGATACTTTATCTTAATCTGGGCTTACGTCAGTTGTGGCTTTACAGTATTACAAGTGTAGAATTTTAAAAAATGTATTAGTTTTGCTGCATAAGTACAAGAGATAGGGAGCTAAGAAAAATGTGTGCTTGTCTAGTGCTGCTTTAAAGTGTTCTGAGTCTTAATTTCCCCCCCCCCAAATAAATATCAATATAACCTCCGCCTCCCCCTGCCCCCCAAAAAAGAGATAGGAATATATCTTTTACTGGAATTGAAAAAATGTGACAAACACTTTTTCCTTTTATTGGATCACTCAATTACCAGGATTAGCGAAAGAAATATAGATTTCCAAAACTAAAGACAATTGAAGGTAAGTCTTTCATTGTTATGCCAAGAACATATACCGAGGGCTATGAGGGGTCCGGCTGGTATCTCTCTCTTCCCAGACAGAAGGTGGAGTGGGATAAATAGGCTAAGCACTGACAGAAGTTTATGTCCACAGAAGGGAAAGGAAGAACGACACAGAAACAGAGGCAGCTCCATTCATTCCTGCCATACTGGTCATTCTGCCCTCTAGTGGGCGCCAGCCTATCACTACTCAATCTTAGAGCCCATACCTGGCTGGAGAGACTCACCTTTATCCTCTTTATTCCACGCTACATCCTTATAAAGTCCCTTATTGAATAAAATGTGAAGAGGTTCACTTTCTTCACACAAGCCCAGTAAGGGACAGAAGTGTTAAACGCATCTTGAAGTTTGGGAAAATATTTGTAGACTAGGGGCCCAGTGCACGAATTCGTGTACCTTGAAAGAAAGGAACTGTGGGTCTTGGTCCATCCTCCATGACCCCGCCAGGCCCCTCCCGCCAGGCCCCCAGGTCTCCTCTCTGTCGGCAGCCCCGCTCCCACTGCTGCCACTTCCACTGCCACCGCTCTCATGCGCTGCGCCAGCCCCACTTGCACCTGCTGACAGCGTGGAGCAACTGGGGCCGGCGCCAGCAGCTGGTGCGAGCGGGGCCAGCGCTGTCAGTGGGTGCGAGTGGCGGCTGCTGCCCCAATTGCTTCTCAGGAGCGGGGGGAGGTGGAGAAGCCCGCAGGGGCGATCGGGGCTGGCAGCCGCTGCTCGTGACTGCTAACAGTGCCAAGTGATCGGGACTGGCGCTGGGCACTGGTAGCGGGTGTGAGCAGCGGTGTCAGTTGTGGGTGCAAGTGGCGGCTCCAGCACTGGCAGTGGCTGTGAGCGAAGCCGTCACTGGCAGCGGGTGTGAGCGGTGGCTGCCAGCCCCGATCGCCCCTCAGGAGCCGGGGGACATAGAGAAGTCCTGAGGGGCGATCGGGGCCAGCAGCCACCGCTGTACCCGCTGATGGTGCCGAGTGATCATGGCTGTTGCTGGGCGCCAGCAGCAGGTGCGAGCGCGGGTCAGGATTGGCCGCATGGGAGCAAAAATTTTTCAGTAACCACCAGAGCTCTCCCCGATGACAGCGACCAGGGCCCCGCCTTGGTCTGGCGCCCTCGCTCACCTGCTCCACCATCCCACTGGGGCTGATGCCCAACATGTTCGGTGCTCTGCCACCTGCTGCCAACGCCCACCATGTTCTGCACGTGCTCCCTGGTGGTCAGCGCACATCATAGCAACCGATTGTTCAGTTGTTCTGCCATTTGGTCTATTTGCATATTAGGGATATACACACACACACTAGAGGCCTGGTGCACAAAATTTGTGCACTGGAGGGGGAGGTGCCTCAGCCCGACCTGTGTCCTCTTGCTGTCCAGGACCCCTCGCTCCTTACCGCCTGCCCGCTCACTGCTCCTTACTGCTTGGCTCACTGCTTCTTAGTGCTGCCGTGGAGGCAGGAGAGGCTCCCGCCACTGCCGCTGTGCTCATCAGCCGTGAGCCTGGCTTCTGGCTGAGCAGCGCTCCCCCTGTGGGAGCGTACTGACCACCAAGGGGCAGCTCCTGCGTTGAGCATCTGCCCCCTGGTGGTCAGTGTGCATCATAGTGACCGGTTGTTCTGCTGTAACGGTTGCTTTTAAAAAAATATTTTTATTGATTTTAGAGAGGAAGGGAGAGGGAGAGATAGAAACATCAATGATGAGAGAGAATCATTGATGGGCTGCCTCCTGCATGCCCCCTTCCTGGGATCAAGCCCACAACCCGAGCATGTGCCCTTGACTGGAATCAAATCCAGGACCCTCCAGTCTGCAGACTGACACTCTGTCCACTGAGCCAAACTAGCTAGGGCAAGGCTTTTATTATATAGATAGATTATGTATACAGGTCTTCCATCATCAGAATGAAATGAGGGAATTCCTGTGTGTTTCCTGATGATCCTTGTAGTAACTAAATCATTGCAAAAATAGCTCTTTCTGTGAAATTTTTATAAAAAAATAAAAGATATTGCAGTTGTTATTGCAAATGTCTTCATGAAAAGAATCTTTTCTTTGCTCCAATCTCCCATCTTGGTCCTAAGAATAAATACAAATGGATTTCCCTCATGAACAAAAACTAAGAATTTTTGCTATGATATGCAAGTACTCACCAATTATTTCCTTAATGAAAGATCACCGTTTTCCATTGTGATTCTTCATAAAGTCTCCTAAGGTACACATGTTAGTAAATTTTCACTCAAAACCCAACTTCCACAGATATATCCACATGACTAGTGTGGTTTGGCTGGCAACAAAGAACTTAAGGGATATCTTTGGTATCTGCTCTATCTCTCTGTCAACCTAAAATCTGGGAAGTTTGTAGGTTAGTTTTTAACAAAGAGGGTTTATAAGACAACAGGAAAATATTTTCACCTAAGTTTATATAGTTTTCTGATTTCATTTCTATAGATAGTATCATTAAGTGGATGTATATAAAAAGCTATGAATAAAAATTATTTCATACAGGTCTGTTTGAACTGCATCCATCATGGCCAAGGGTGAACCTGAGGAAGGGCGGTGAAGGGTTAAAGAAGACAAACAAGAGAAAACAGTTGGAACCAGGTGGATCACTGCCTGGATGAGGAAACAGTGACCCAACCTGTAAGCCAAAGCTTTATTTTATAGTCAGATCACACAAAGCAAAACAAGGGGAGTGGTCAACATGTTTACAATGTTCCTGTGAGTTTCAAATCTATTTCCTTACTCAAGTCTTGTTTTGGCAGCACTTGCTGCACCTCCCACAGCCCATTAGCTACCTAGGAACAAGGGGGGACTATAAGGTCAAGCTTAATTGTGCTAGGAGGGCTCTGCCCTCCAAGCTGGAACTTGTGTGTGGCTCTGCCACAGGTCAGTCTGAGGCTTGACCCTATAGCTGCTCCCTATATCTGTTATTTAACGGTTAGTATGCATTTCTCACAAAATCCTGGAGCAGAATCAAATGCCCTACTTCAATGTGGAGTGGGATCTCAGTTTGGAGAATAAAGAGGAAGACTCATTATATAGAGAGTATAAAAGCCACCAGCTTCCAAGCCCTGAATTGCTCCTGACCTCGTTTCTTCATTGCTATACCAAAGAGATATGCCAATATTTTTCATTGTGCTGATGGGTACAGTGGTAATGAATTAATGTTGGCAAGATCTTTTGAAATGACAGTGTAGAGTTTATTAAAGAAGCAAGAAACAGAAAACCAGAGAAAGTCCTCTCGATTGGCCAGATTTTGTAACGTTACATAACATGTTTTTTACACCCCAAAAATAGGGCAGACGACTTTAAAGTTGTTGTTTTTTTTAAGTCTTCCTGTTACTTTGACAATAGCAAAAAGCAGTCTGATTTAGCAATTACTAAAAACGTTTGAAGGGTCAAGCATCTGGGAGAATGGGAGTCAAATGATATAGCCCCTACTCCTTTGTTTTACTCTTTCATTCAGCAAGCATTTACTGAATGCACGGTGCGTGTGAGCAACGTTCTAGGCTGTGCGGGAGATGTAAAGATGTCTAAGAGGGCAACACCTTCCACTAATGAGTTTATAATTTATTAGAGATATATATATACACACACAAATATCTATAATACAGGACAATGTAATTTAGGCTATAAGAAAAGTGCAAAGTACAGTGTTTTCCTGGGCTGAATGGGATATTTTGTGGGGAGTTGGCCTCTGAGCTGGCCGTGGATAGAATGAGATCTTCCAGGGACAGGTGACTGCCTGAGTGAAAACATATCAAACCACCTTCTCTGTGAGGCTTTCTCTTTTCCTCTCCCCACTCCCTTTCTCTCCCTGCCCAGAGGTAGATTTGTGTGCTCCTTGTGCCTCGCTAAATACTGTAATCTGTACAGATTTTCATTTTGACAATTATATTCTAGTTGTTGTTTGCAAGTCTGTCTCTCCAGGAAACTATAAAGTCCTAAAGTCAGGAGCCATGTATTTTCACGTTTGTTTTCCTCACAGGTAATAGGGTTTCCGACATAGGAAACCTGCTCAATAAATACATGAGGGAGAAGGGAAATTAATTCAGGGATCAGTGAGTACTACCATTTGACTGGAATCAAAGATTCATGAAGGATAGCAGTGGGAATTAAAGCTACAAAAGTAAGTTGGAGAATAGGTCTGACACTATCAAGGGGAGTGTAAGGGGAGCCGTGGAAACTCGTCCACGCTGCTTGTGAGACTAAGTTGGCACAACCATTTTGGAGAACAGTTTATCAATGTCTAATAAAGTCAAAGATGCTCATATGTTATGATCCAGATATTCTAAATCTAGAGAAACTCTCATGTATACAAGGAGACAGATATAGAATATTCATAGCAAAAAGTTGGAACAAAATCAATGTCCATTAGCAGGAGAATGGAGAGATTACTATAGATATATTAATAATAATGAGGGGCAACCTGTGCTATTAGTTATATGTTTTCTATTAATATTATGTAATGAATAATAATAAATAACTATAGCTATATCGACATGGTGAATATTATAAATATAATATTGAGTGGAAAAGAAAAACCAAGGAGAATGCCTATGTTATAAAAATTAAAATTCTGTAAGATAGTATTATGTATTACTTAGGGATATATATCCTCCTATATAATAAAAGGGTAATATGCAAATTGACTGAACAGCAGAATGAGCAGTCGCTATGATGCACACTGACCATCAGGGGTCAGACACTCAACGCAGGAGCTTCCCCCTGGTGGTCAGTGTGCTCCCACAGGGGGAGCTCTGCTCAGCCAGAAGCTGGGCTGATGGCTGGCAAGTGCAATGGTGATGGCGGGAGCCTCTCCCACCTCCAGGACAGTGCTAAGGATGTCCAACTGCCATCAATCAGACATCCCCTGAGAGCTTCCAGACTGCAAAAGGGTGCAGGATGGGCTGAGGCCCGCCCCCCCACCAGTGCACAAATGTTGTGCACCGGGCCTCTAGTATCTGTACTAATAATAGAGGAATATGCAAATTGTCTGGGACACAGTAACAGTAACGACCAAACAGCAGGCTGCTTGGGGCAACAAGGCCAGCAGGGGGGTTAATGAGGGACGACCAAACGACTGGACAGCAGGCTGCATGGGGCGACCAGGCTGGCAGGGGGTTAGTGAGGGATGACCAAACGACTGAACAGCAGACAGTGTGGGGCGACCAGGCCAGAAGGGAGGGGGGAAGTTGGGGGCAACCAGGCTGGCAGGAGTTCAGTTGGGGGCGAATAGGCAAGCAGGGGAGGGCAGTTGGGGGCAATTGGGCTGGCAGGGGAGGGCAGTTAGGAGCAACCATGCCGGCAAGGGAGGGCAGTTAGGGACGACCAGGCTGGCAGGAGAGGGCAGTTGGGTGTGACCAAGCCTGTGGGGGAGGGCAGTTAGGGGCGACCAGGCCTTCAGGGGAGGGCAGTTGGGGGCGATCGGGCCGGCAGGGGAGGAAGGTTGGGGGAGATTGGGCTGGCAGGGGAGCAGTTAGGTGTCAATTAGGCTGGCAGGGGAGCAGTTAGGGGGCGATCAGGCAGGTAGGCAGGCGAGCGGTTAGGAGCCAGCAGTCCCAGATTGTGAGAGGGATGTTCGATCCCTCTGGGATCAGGCCTAAACCAGTAGTCGAACATCCCCCAAGGGGTCTCAGATTGGAGAGGGTGCAGGCCAGGCTGAGGGACACCCCCCACCCATGCACAAATTTCGTGCACTGGGCCTCTGGTATATACATATTATGCTTGGATAGAATGAATACCAAATCCAGAAGAGTAGGGAAAGAGATATGATCAGGGAAGCTTATATAAGGGCCTTGACTCAGTTGACCATGTTCAAGTTCTTAAATTTGATGCAGGGTAAATGGGTGCTTTATTGTGATATTTTTAATATAATCTATATATCTTAAATATTGCATGAAACATTTTTTAAGTTAGACCCATATTACAGCAGGGCTGGAATACCATGCTAGCAAGTTTAGATATTGTTTGGTGGTTAACAGAGAACTCGTTTGGCCCTTGAGCAGGTAAGAGATATCATCAAAGGTATGGTTCAAGTCAGCGTAGACTAGTGCTATACAAGATATTGGGCAAGCCCTAACCGGTTTGGCTCAGTGGATAGAGCGTCAGCCTGCGGACTGAAGGATTCCAGATTCGATTCCGGTCAAGGGCATGTACCTTGGTT